CTGTTGTGGACTTTTTGCTGTAGAGATGGGATTTGGCTCTGATTGTTCTACAGACCCTTTCAGTCGCCTAGCCTTGTGAGTCAGATTATCAGTCGCCTTCCTCTCCAGTTTCTTTTATTGATTTAATCCTAAAGTATTATATATGTTACTGCTGCATGAGAGGAATTAATGATCCCAAGAGGTACAAAGTTTTAGTTGTGTGCAAAATCGTTGTCTGATCCAACTTACTCTGCTTAAAGAGCTGATGATTATCCCTAGAAAGTTTAAATAGTATATAGTCTTAAGATTTAGGGTAATAACCAAAACATTTTCCTCTTCTCAAAACTGATATTTTATGTGTTTTTTTTAAGTGTTTTTTTATATTTGTAATTTACAGAAGAAATCTAATTTTAGTCATTCACTTTGTTGTGACCTCGGGATCACAGTTTATCTCATAGGTTAGTGATTTTCTCCAAGAATCGTTGACTCTGCTCATGACTTTTAAGGGTTTTCCCATAATAAAATTGAGAGGCCGCCTGCAATGTCTCATATAAATCAATAAGATTAGATGCAGACCGTTCTCCTTTTGCTATTGAACGAGCCCTTTGATTGTTCACACGCTTTCTATAATTCAGTCTTGTTTCTCGTGTTCAGCTTGCAATATTAAAGACTCTTCACCACTGCCAGAAAATAATGGGTGAGAGAACAATACAATCAGACTATCTTTTCAGATGTGTGTTTCAAATCTATGGAAGTGCACACTCTTTTACATAATGATTCCTCTAAAAATGGGAAGCTTCCCTGTGATTTCTGCAACAAAACGACAGTGACTTTCTGCATCATAAATAAGCTCTATTATATGTATTTCTTCTGAAAGTTTTTGGGTCCTTGTTAACTTAAGAATCCTGTAATCATTCATTTACTTTTGCAACAAATTTGCATAGATAGATAGATAGATAGAGGTTAAAGTGATATTGATCAGCAGTGCACTTTAAATTGTTTTTGTAGGTAAAATAGTTGGGGATTCTCATTTACAGCCATGTCCAGTATGGAAAAACTTCTTTATGACCTTCTTTTTGTGGTGGAAAAAAAGATATAATCCATTTTAAAGGGAGACGGGGCAGTGGAGATTAGGGAAATGTGGACCACCCCCAGCAACTCAGTGATGGATCCCATTTTTCACAGTCAGGCAGAAGGCGTGTGGATAAGATTTTAGGCGTTATGGCAGGAACTGTGAGGAATGATGAACGCAGGGGTGGAGAGTGAGAGCAGGTTACTGGCAATAGGATACTTTACACTGTGGGATTGCTTGAATAGAGGAAAAAGCCTGTATCTTTGCAGCATCTTCACATCAGTACTCATTTTGTAGACGTACTTAGAAATCACGCCTGGCATCTCTTAGTGAAATTTAATCAGGGGTATGATGTTTCTGCGCTGTGAAGGAGACAGATAAAGTATTTTTCCTTGAGGTACATTTTTATAGTGTAGGATTGAACTGTCAGCTAAGTTAAATGTGTGAATATGTTGAAAAAATGAAAAGTCATGAAGTATCTGTCAGTCTTTTCAAAAATTGCTTTAATCATAATTTTCATGATGTTTTTAAGATAAAAAAAAATCTTAGAACTTTTTTTTTTCTTAAGTGCATGAAATATCAACAAACCCTATATGGTTTTTCCTTTTTTAACCTTAACTGTTGGTCATTTAGTCAAAGATTGAAGTGTTATACTGTCTGATGAGAATTATGTGGTGCTGTTTTGAGCAGTGATTACTAGACTTTTAGCTATTTAAAATAGGGTAACAGGTTTGACTTTATGAGGCCAAAGTAAATGAGGTGGGTGGATATTTTGTTGCAGTCAGATACCATAGTTGCTGTTTAAAAGTTCTCCTGTTTGCTTCATGGGCCCTTAACTGGTCCTTCGCTGGTAACCATCAGGTCCATGGGGGTAATGTAATTCCCTGCGGTTATGTTTTCAGTCAGGCCAAAACCCTAAGCTGCCAGAGTGTAAACCAGCTGCAATGCCTATGGGTGGAGTTACAGTAAACACTGATACTCCCAGCAGAAAGAGCGGGGCCATTCCAGCAGGTGGAATTTGAAGGGAATTTGGCCGGAGCTTGGCCATTCAGCTGGCTTTCGGCCTGAAGGGAAACTTTTAAACCACTACTACTGTAGTAACAGAACAATAAACTGTACTGTATTTTATAATGTTAAAGCTAGCTACTTTAGCTTAAAGTATTTGCAGTTTATGTTTTATCCTGTTTCCAGTGTTAAGAGGCTTCAATTTGATGAACTGCTTAGAGGAGAGCGACTGCAGCAACCCGTATGGGTTATGGTCTCACTATAGCTTCCAGTTAACTTGAACAGCTATACAGACAGAGCTTTTTGTCCTCCCCTATGAAATATTTGCTTCTTCGTGTGCTTACAGTACAGTATTATAGCTCTAACAATAAGGTATTTTTGTGAGTTTTGATTTTTTTTCTTTAAAAATGAAATCAAATAATATGGAGTAAATAAATGTGTGACTTTAAAAACAAAACACATAATTAAACAACCAACTTGCACCCTTCAGCAGCCAATGTGCATTCACACCGAATGCATTCAGGGAGTCAAATGATCTCATACATGCAATGTCTATGGGGGGCAGCATTAGGCGACTTCATCCTGGTGTCAGGGCAACCAAGCGTTTGACGCTGGTGTTCAGAAATCTAAACTTTGTCAGCTTAACCAGGAGCATCAGCCAAACAAAACTGCTAATCCAGCAGTCTTTTGGGAGACAGACACTACATGTAAGATGTCATCGCTTTTGCAGAGTTGTCAACATGTAAAAAATGAATATAAAGGAGTTGCACTACATGGATTTAAAAAAAACAACAGAATGAATTGTTATGTACAAGGAAAAGAGTGAGCTCTGACTCCACTAAAACATCTTTTTAATGAATGCACCATTAGAAAGTTTTATTATACAGTGTAGATGTGGTTTGTGTTGAAATGAGTCAACATGTGATCAATGTTGCAGGCATGTGGCGATCACTACTATTAATTCCAACTAGCTTACTTAAATAACTTCATAAATGAGCACATTATACTGTTCTTAAGCAACCTCTGATAATATATTTTTTTAATTTTTTTTTATATGAACCTTTTTTGCAACATTGTCAGTTTTATTCAGTGTGGTGAACCATGCAATTCTTTTTATTAGCATTACCAGGGTTTTTGTATAAAACAAAATCGATAAAGAACCCTGAAATTTCTTCTGTAAAAGTTCCAACCAAAAAAATGGGAATGAAAATAAAATCAGCAGATTTTTTTTAACAACAGTTCAATTGGTTATCTAGTAGAGTGGGGTTTCAAATCAGACTTAAAATGTCTTTGCATAATGTGTCTTTTACAATAAAAACAAAGCAAGACCTGGTTACACAGATGTCCTTCTCTGCACAGATAGATCTTTTGAGATTGACCTAATCGCTGCAGGTAGAGTGATGCCTTGTGTAGCCCAGTATACTGAAGCCTTTCGAGCTGCTAGCTGGAGGCCCTGACTCGGTAATGTCTAAAGCGAGTGCTACAAAGGTGGTGGGGGACAGGATGATTCACCACGGGAGCTGTGTGTTTGAGAAGGTTGCTTTTACAACCAAATATGAGGCTATCGTGACCAAAGGGTAAATTCATGTACTATAGTCAGTGTTTAAAATTACAAGGGCAGCACTAAGATAGATTTGAGACAAATGTTGCAAAATGAAGCAAGTTCGTATTTAAAGGTAAGCAAATGCAGACAAACATTAAAATAGCACAAGGTACCTTTTTTATACAGTTTATCTGGCATAAAATGGATTTTGGGGTGAGTTACACTTTAATGATTAGTATCATTACCACAGTTAACATTGCTAACAGGAAGTTTTGTGTATTTCTTTTATAATAAGTAGATATGGATCCAAATTGTAAGATTTTAAAAAGGCTGTTGATATTTTCAAATCCAGTAAGCGCCATGAAAGGAAGGTTCAGACTTTTCAGTTGCATAAAACAAAAGTGTCAACATTCCTCATCAAATAATTAGTTTCTGTGCCTGAATCTTTTTAAAAAATGTCATTCTTCTTCCAGCTGTATGTTTAAACAGATCACAGATACTGAAAGTAGCCAACTAAGTCCCATTTTCTTAAAAATTTCCACAACAAAGGGTGTAATTGTTGAAACAGCCTGTTTAAGACACATAAAACAGATTCCTAGCTTTTGTTGTTTGGGGTTAGTCACCTGTTTCTTGTTGCCTCTCTAGGATTAATGCATCTGTTGTGCATCGGTCTTCTGCAACAGATAGAAAAGGGTTTTAAATTGTGTTGCAAATGTGCTTTTGTGTTGGAACTTAAAGCAGCAATGTGGGTGCAACCTTTTTTTTTTTTTTATTTGGGTAAGAGCTAGAATGGAACAATGTTCAACCACAGGCTTATGTAACTCTGAGCTGACTGTGCTATCTGTGCTAACTATGGTGACCTAATATGACATATTTTGGTGTTAATGTTCTAAGACCATTTAAGAGAATGATCTTTTCAGACAATGCTACATAATAAGGATTCCTTTAATTGCAGATACTATTTTAGCTTTTTCTTCCACGTCATATGTTCAGATCCGTTGCAGTAAAGCAGCAGGCAAAAGTGCCATTCCTTTGTCTTTGTTTAAGAATAAAATAAAATCTATTTACTTCGTTTAGTCATGCTTCTTGTTTATCTCCTCTTTTAATCAGAGACTTGAATAACAACAGTCTTCCCAGTGTTATTAGGTTTACATCCTTATATAATTTACCCCAATAAAACACACAATTAAGAAGATCTGATTTCAAATGGCCCTTTTAGCTCCTATAGCGTACTATCTGCTTGTAATCAGATTTCTTTATAGCTCTGATTTAATCTTAATTTGTGCATGCTGTTATGTCAGTGGGATTGTACTTTGCCTGTTTCAACAGTCTTCTTTTGTCTCTCTTTTTTCTCCTGTGTGATTGCCCTTTCATCCACATTTTTCTGCATTCTTAGGTTGCTGGAACTCAAAGCAATGTGAAAACTGGACTTAAACAACACCTAGAAAGGCTGGATGAGATTTTTGCTTCAAGGACTGATTACCTCCAGGCCCTGCGCTTCCTTCAGCTAATGGCTAACAACATCATTCGTGAGCTGACGGCTCTGCCAGATATCAACAGAACCAAGATTGACTTGGCAGCCATTGCCGACCAGACTGCTTTCATTGAGTATTACAGGTGAGTGGAGTTTTACTAGCTCCACTGGGTTGATGGAAATCATTTTATTTTTATGTGCATGCAGATGTAACAAACATGCTGTTTAGAATGGAGTAGTAGTAGAGATACAACTCAGCCACAGAGCAGATGGGATTTTATTGATCTCTCCTGAGAAATGCAACCCGGAAAAGCTATTTGTCCTGATTGCTAAATAAATGAAAGCTGAAATTGAGCTCATTTTCTATCGTGCTGTTGAGGTCTTACACGCAGTCTCTCCTCAGATAATTATGCACGACCGAGTGTCTGTTTGGTCATAACTGATCTCCATTTACTTAAATTATTTTTGGTCTGTAAGCTTCGGAAATTATACGCACAGACTCACATACATGAAACCATGATGCATGGTGCTCTCTGGGTTACAGAAAAAATAAGCTTTTCCTTCTTCCTGTTAAAACGGCACCCATCACATGGCAGGCCCACAGGATCTATTGATTTTGCTTGAAAAATAGTAATTAATTAAGACGTGAAGCAAAACCCAATACAGGAATCGACTGAAGTCCAGTTTAAGCCGCATGGACCTGGCCAATCTGAAACCTTTCAATAGGTAGATGATCTGCTAAGACTTACAGTATACACTAAAACATGACCTGATTATTATTCAACACCTGTATGTCTATACTACTACTTTATTTATTTATTCATAAAGCACTTTAAGGCAACCATGGCTACAGCCATGTGCTGCACATATAAAGGAAGAAAAAATAAAAATAAAACAAGTAAAAACCATAAAAACAAACAATAAAAGAATCAAAATAACAAAACAGAGTCAAAATAGAAAAAGTTTCACGGCGTGCTAAAAGCCAAGGAATAGATGTATGTTTTTGAAGGTTTTTTAATTTAAATAGACTTGTCTAATTTTAACAGAAGGATCATTCCATACCCTTGAAGCAGCAGCTCTAAAGGCTCTGCCCCCCTCACCAGGAGGCACCTGAAGTCCTTTTAGAGTTCGGTGCCTCCTGGAGCAGCTGATCAGCTGACCCAAGGCATCAAAACATATTTAGCAGTTGGGTTGAAATGTATCCTTTGAATCAAATAAAGCATCTTTGAATCCACCTGTTTTTTTATATATATATGTATTTTTTTTTTCTTTCCTGTTGATGTTAGTGTAATGGATATATGACCTTATCTGTAGGGTTGTGAAGTTGTTAAAACTAAACTGCTCTGTTTTTTCTATCTTCAAGTGAAAAACTCTTCCATCCATTTGTCTGTGCGTTATTTAAGAAAGTTATTTAAATAATCAATTCATCATAATCAATCATGTTATCCCAACTTGAGTCTACTAATCTTAACTCAGATATACAGTATAGCGTCAGCCTTGCAGCAGACCATTTGCTTGGCTGTCTTTATTTAAGTAAATAGCCTTGTAGCACCATGTGTATAACCAGCTGGACCCTGAGACATTGCGGTAAAAAAAATAAATAAATAAATAAAGAGGACTGCGAGAAATGGACTTCAAATTGTATTACAGTATTTTTCTTATAATTATTCTGATTAAAATAAAATGGGGATTAAAAAATATTTAAGTAACTAATCTCAGTTTTTTTGCATAACTAATACGGCTCTAAAAAAACTAAGAAAAACTAGTCTATTGTAGCACTAAAAATAACATTTTCTCGCTTAATTAAATGTACTTTCACATGTTAGTATATTCATATTCATTCTGCTCTCAAAAAAACAAAATTAGATCATGACCATCCGAAAAATTAATGCTAGTGTTTAGGGATTACAGAGGCAACGGTCCGATACCTATCTACTATCTTAATTTTGATATCGGATATCAAAGATCCAATCCAGTGCACTTTACATTTAACTGTTATTTCTTTCTTTTTGCTGTTTATTTAGTAATACATAATATAATGTACATTTATATCTCTGTTGGTTTTTATTACCCTTTTTCTGCTATGTTTATGTCAAGGCTAAACCTCTTCTCGCATGGCAAGATATATGGTTCTCCAATTTATCAGCTGAATCGGATCGTTATTGGATATCAGCCCAGGTATCGGATTAAATCATTAAAAATTGGATCACTGCATCTCTAATTACCATATAATTAATTACTTGATGTTAGTTTTCATGATTAAAAACAATTCTCATCACAATTATAGTTGTTCCAATTCCAATATCAGTATTGGAAATGTCTCCTTCACTGCCGAAAATGCTGGCATTGGTATCAGCGAGAATTGGAGTCCACACACCGATCCAAAGTGATCCAAAATTTTATTAAAATAGGATCTTTTTACTGGTTATTTCGATTAGTTCCATTAAAGGGTTTAACCTCAGCCAGGCCTTAACACAAATGGAGGTGATTGTGGTGACATTGCATGTTTTCTAGCTGATGTAAAATATCCATCATTGTTCATGCGATCAACGACGGCTACAAAAAGAGATTGTGCATCTGTTTTTATACAGGAAATAATTTAACCAATATATGGCTACCACCTTTGATTCCCCTGGCTCCTTTGTAAAATGCATTTAATTCTGTGATTTGTAACTCACTGAGCTCATTCAACTGGCTGTCCCTCTCCTTTCCTAATTAAATAATTTGATATATTTCTATCAACAAATTGAGTTGTCTCTGTTATAAAATATCATTAAAAAATGCATTAATAAAATGCATTATGCCAAAGCTAAACCTAGGTTTCTTGAAACAAAGCAGCATCAATATTGAAAGGAGTCAAATCATTCCATAGAACCAGAAATCTGAAAATAGATGATTAAATTGGAAAAACGGGGTGTTTAAACATATCACACTTCAGTTTGGAATTGATAAAACAGTCAAAACAGTTATTGAAATTACCTTGCTGTTTTCATTTTCCTGATAAATTATCTTAGCTAATTTTGAAAATAAATTGGTAATGGACATTATTATATAAACAGAATTCCATTTCCTTGTATTTTTCCTTCATTATATTTCCTTACTTTCATCCTTATCAGTTTTAGGAACACCATACTCTTTTAATTCCTCACATTCCAAGCAAAGCACAGACTACTGTCCAAATAACATGATTTGTACTATTAGTGCTAAAGCCTTCTTATATCAATTTCATACACCATCCAGCTTGGCTCCACATATCGTGCACTTTCTGTACCAACAGCGGATTTTCCTTTGGACCACAGTTATCTGACACTGATCCCCTGGGTCTTGATTGGATTTTATGTGGCCATTGAACAGCCTGCAGCAGAGTTTTATTGAACAGAAAATGTTACAACAATCCAGTGCTACTAGGAAAAAAATGACACCATTCCGTTTTCCTAGTGTTGTATTTTTCTCTACTTTCGCCTCGAATTCAGTTACATGTAGGTCCTTCAGTGGTACTGCTTTTAAAGAAAAAGTGCAATTTAACATCCTCCATCCATTTACTTTATTCTGTGAGTAAAGTTATGTTAAAAGTATATCGGATCGAGTACCTGTGCACCTTTTAATGAGCAGAAGGGAATTCTATTATTCAATAATGGTCAAAAATATAATTATTGCTGTAGTGTATCTGTTTATAGAATATTAAAACATGTCTGTTTGAGTCAAATGTGGAACATTTGAGTTTTTGCCAAAAATGTATCATACTTATCAACTGGCTGTTGAGAATGGCTCATAGGAGCTTGCTTGACTTGCCAAAACCACACATATGCACACTCACACTTTACGCTTTAAGCTCAACGTCAGCCGTTCTTGTGAAGGACATTTTCAGAGGAGAATGAAAAATTAATGTCTATGGATTGGCGTTGTTGAATTATTAAGCTCAACATGCTGGAAATTACCTGAAACAGACAGGCTTTAAGTAGGAGACACTAGTGCTGATTGAAAAGACATATAGACAATTCACACCTCATGCCTACACAAAAATCGAGACAGCATGTGCTGACTCTTGAATGCATACAGAAATTTGTTTGTTTGTGAAAGATAGTGATGCAGCTTGTTATTGATGCGACACTCCCCTGTCTTATAGATGGCTGACCTACCTGCTGCTGCTGATCCTTGACCTGGTCATCTGCTTGGTGATGTGCTTAGGAATTGCTAAGCAGTCTCAGTGTCTGCTGATCACGTAGGTACCATCAATGTGCACTTAAAGGAAACCACCTTTTGTCTCAATCTAAAGCTATATTTTGTGTAGCCTCTGTGTTCTTATTGAAGGGCTACAGTAATTAAGGGCATCAGTCAGCATCAATGGTGATATAAACATTGACCCTGCCGTGTATCACTGCAAAAGACAGTACTCAGCACAAGATAATACAAGAATGCTCATATTCATCTACTACATTCGCAAATATAATTACAGCAGCATTTATCTGCCTAACTCTTTGTCACAGTAGCTGATTGAAAATTATTTTAGATTAAAAAAAGAAAATAAAAAGATGGTGCCATAACGCTTGGTTCTTTAAATTTCTGCCAATGATTTAAATTGGCAATGATGTTCAACAGCCAAATCCACATTTCAGACTCTCCACCCCATTTGCCCAATTTAGTACAACCTACATGTCAGTGTTACCAGATGATGCTCAGGATCGCTGCTCACATCCCTCTCTAATGGGCCCTCACTAATGCCTATTGATCGACTGAGAAGGATAAGACTGCTCCCTTAACTAATTATTAAGTGCTCTCAGGCTGCTTTATTGGTGCTTTCAAGAGGGTCCATGGAGTAAGTTGGTGCAGCGAAGCCATGCCCAGGGCTTTTATATCCATCACGGGGCCATTTTTTCCTCCTTTTACATAGTTTATCTACCGCACACTTCAGGCCTTATTTTAAGCTTTATTCCAGTTATCTCTTTCAAAAAATGTTGTTAATAGTTTAAGATTTTCTGAAGTAGTTTCTTTTTACAACCCTTTAATATTAAAATCTTGTTAAAATAGTCAGTCTCTAGGTCACAATAAAATTAGAAAGTGGAGTACCACTAGCCTCTCCAAAAATAGGATTTGAGCCTATATAGTATTAGCCATACAAAATTTCCCCACTTTCCTTTATGGGCCTTTGCCTGGTCCTTGGCTAGTCCCCTAAAAATAATTTTTAAACATCTAAAATATTATTTCTGTCATGATTTGTGGACATTAAGATCTAAAGAGAAGCGTCATCTCATGGTCAGACCCTGCAATTCACTGACAGGGTGGAGTCAGTTTAAAAAAATATGCACGCCCATGAAAAGGCCAGTGGCTAGAAGTGTGTGGGTGCGGTGGGGTGGGGTGTGGGTGGGTAGGTGTTGGTCTGGGGTTTGCTGCCATTCGGCTGGCTTTTGATTGGGAAGGGCCATTTTCAATGGCTGCCACTGTAAGAGTTAAACTGCAGGAGTTGAGATGGGAAATTTATTTGGTAAATTTTCTAAATGAGGATTAAGGCTAAACTACTGTATAACACACCACGACAATTTGGGTTTTGCCTAAAAGCTGATGAGGGGCTATGTTGAGTCAATAGATGAGATAAGAAAATCCCATCAGTATTCTTAAAAAAGGGAGACTTTTGAATAAATTCCACAATGTCTATCTGTATCTACCTTTCACTCTTCATAACACTGCTCTTATTTTCTCCAGGATTATTGGTTTTGTGATACTGTCCTTGATTCTAAGCTGGGCTGCCCTAGGAATTGGCACTGCGACAGCTGTGGTGAGTAAGATAGGTACAACTTTTTAAACCTTTAGGAAAACAAAATCTGTTATCATTATTACCTTTTTTTGTATTTGTCCTAGGGGACTTGTCATTAATCTTTTGGGCCAGCATTCAAAGAAGTTAGCTTCTTAAAAGGTTTCTGTGCAGTTTATTGTCAGCTCTTTTTTTAAGGTCAGCCATGCAGTAAAGCTGATTACACATCTCAAGTCTTTTAGATCAAAGCGCGTTTAATCCTTTAGCAAACAAAGGAGATTTCTAGTTTTAATTGCTCCTTCTGCTTTCTTAAAAACCTCACATCTTTGCTTGTTTTCTGTCTCTCCTTTAAGCTTTCTTATTTTTGACAGATTGTTCTATCTTAATAGTATACACCATGTGTTCCACGCATCTAGGCTTTGTGTGGTTAATGATGCACATATTAGAGATGCCGTCGGGGTGTTAGGAGATAATATACCTTTGCTTCCAGCCTTCCCCATTTCTTATGTCCATGACAGGAAAATCCTCACATCTATATGTTGTCCCTCTGGTTTTGAGAGCTTGTAGGGCTCTTTCAAGAGAAGAGGGGGGAAGAGATGGTGTACAAGTTTCAAGTTAAAATCGAAGCAGCATTGAATGGCCATGGCACATTAGCAGTGCACCGGGTTGTGTCATGCACCCATGCCACCCCTTGTATTGATGGTTTTACTCATAGTATATAGACATAGCTAGTTGGTATTCCTGTCTGTAAGATTTGAAATGCTGTTGCTATCACCTAAAGTATATTATAAAGCAGTACAAAATAGGTAAAATAAGGCATCTCCTCTTGAAGTTAGAAAAACTTGTTTTGTGGTTAAGGATATAAGAACCGCAATCCATAAAGAATGGCTATTTATTAGGTGTTGTCTGACACTATTTGAAGTTGACAATCTACAAATATTTTAGGCCTGACAACTTGCACATGCCTTATTGATGTCCAAAACCTTTTTTTAAATTTAATTAGCACTGCCATGTTTTTGCTTATGAAGTTTGAGGGTGCAAAGTCAAACTGCCTTGTCTAAGTGTTTTGCATGAAAACTCTACAAAATTCTGTTTTTGAACCAAAATGTCTGAAAAGGATCTGCAAAAAGCTCCAAGACACGTTTTCTTGGTCTTCAAAAGTAGGCAGATATAATAAGATCTTCCATGGATCTTTCCACTCGTCGTCTTCCGCTTTATCCAAGACTGATTAGGGGGAGCTGCAGTGTCAGCAGAGACTCCCAGACTTCACTTTCCTAGCCCCGCCAAAAGAATAGGTCCCCCTAGGGTGTCCTGGGTTGTCTCCTGGTCCTCCTATGGGATGGACGTTCCTTGAACACCTCCTGAGGGAGGTTTCTAAGGAACATCCAAAAAAGATGTCAGAACCACCTCAGCTGACTCCTAATAATATCAGAGAAATGGCTCTACTCCAAGTCTCCCCCAGATGAGCAAGCCCTTACCCTATCCCTAACGTGCCCAGCCACCCTGCAAAGCAAGAAGCTCATATCCATGATTTCATTCCTCCATGCATGATCCAGATTTTATGACCATGTGAGAGGTTAGGAAGGTAGCCAACCAGTAAATCGAGAGCTTTGTCTTTTCACTCAACTCTCTCTTCATCACAAGAGATCAGTGCAGTGTCCACATTATGGCAACAGCTGTCCATCTATCTCCCACTCCATTATCTCCTCACTTATGAACAGGACCCCAAGATAATACTACAAATAAAGCAAGAACTCTCCTTCAACCTGAAGTGGATGAGCCACCTTATTGTGGTCAAGAGAAGTGGCCACGGATTTGGAGGAGATGATTCTCATCCCAGCCACTTCACACTCAGCTGCAAACCTCTGCATACTTTATGTCTTGGCAGAAGGAAGCCAGCAGAACCACGTCATCTGCAAAAGTCAGTGATGAAATATGCTGGTGTCAGACAGCCTCTGCCCCTTGACTGCACCTAGAAATCCTATTTGTAAAGGCCATGAAGGTTGTGAACAGGACTGATACCTGAGGGTAGCTCTGTCAAAGTTCAACATTTACTGGAAAAAGGTCTGACCTAATGCCAGCAATGCAGGTATTGCTCCCATTTTACAGAGACCTGATAGCCATTAGTAAAGGTCCCCCAACTTCTTACCTCTGGAGCACCTCCCACATGGCTGGGTTTCATGAACCCTTGAGTTTGCAGAAGGTATCAAACTTGTCCATTGCTCCACTGTGGGGATGAAATCAGCCAGATGCTCCTCTCTCGCTACCTGGCATAGGACTTCCCAGCAAGGCTGAGAAGTTTAAATTCCCCTATAAGTGGAAAATATCCTCCTGCCGCACTGTCCCCTACCTTCAAATAATGTAAATAATAATAATGAATAATTTTTATTTTTTTTGTTGATATATATTTACTTAATACATTACAAAACAAAACCCAAACTTAAAAAAGCAGTGCAGACCTCCGCCATGCAGCAAATTTTGCCCCATATTATCTCTTCCATTACACCTAAGCTAGGGTTGGAAATTAATAAGATTTTCACGATTCTGATTCCCTTATCGATTTTGTGAAATGATTTGATTCCTTATCGATTCTGTTAACAATGAACTTGGTAAGTGCATGGTGACATTCGTCTACCTTCACCGGGGACGTTCTTTTTCTGCCTGCCTCGGCAAAAACTGAAGGCAGTGAACGAGAGCTGCCAGCCTCTGAGTCAGCCAGGCTGCCCTTCTAGTCATAGTCATCTAAATCTAATGGAGAAGCAAAAGCATACTGAAAAAGCATTACTGTACAGTTTCGGGAAATAAACTCATCTCCCCCTGATTTAAGTAAACGAGCGTCACCTTTCTCTCTCCCTGAACTGCGGAGCAACTTCGTAGCATGTTTCGTTACATCCATTGCAATAGCTAGAATCATGTAAGAATTCCAGCTACCAGTAGTTCTAATTAAACATGCTAGCAATGAAGGGCTGGATTAACGAGAAAAGCACACTCCCTTAATAACCCCAAAGAGAGGTAGGAAATTGGTTTATTTTCAGAAATGGCATATGATTTACTTGGAACCACATTAAGCACAGCCAGTGATATAAAACTAGCTACTTACCACCAGAGTTGCCTTCCATGCTGGTCATAACTTTAGCTTCTGTCCGGAAGGCATCAAAAAGACAGCATTCGTTAAAACTAGGGCTGCAACTAACGATTATTTTAAAAATCGATGAATCGGACGATTATTTTTTCGATTAATCGATGAATCGGACAAAATATATTTTTTATATTAACCTCTTTATTCCAAAATAAACATTTTAGACAGAACAAACAAGCACACAAGTACAGGTTGCTCATTAACTGTACTGGTGCAATATGAAAAATAAATGTTTGTGTTAAAACTACGCAAACTTACATGAGAAATGTAGCTGTACATCCACAAAATATAGGCTACTTTGTTTCATAAAGCGCAAAAAAAGACATTTTTGTTTTTAAAAGCCCCTAAGGGGTTCAAACAATAGACCCCCCCATTTCAACAAATGAGGTTTTTTTTAGACTAGAAGAGTTCTGCCTTTTAAGACAGGAAAGTATAGCAGTTAAAGTTGCTACTTGAGAAAATACTGAACCATAGAGATAAAAATAGCCCTGTGATTCAAATTATAAATTGTATTTGGAATAAAAATGAGAGAACTAGGGGTGCTAAAAAACACATCCTCCAAAGACAGATATTTACATGGGAATGTGGCAGATAATTAATTGACATATTACTGATCTTGCTGGATTTTATTCTGCTTTACTTCTATAAATTGCAGGATCTTCTTTACTTTATCTTTGCCAGAAGATTTAAACTTTAAAAGTCTTGCCCTCATAATTTGCAAGTTAATTTATTTATAAAGTAAATATAAACGCTGCTTAAGCTAATTCAAATGAAATTAAAAGTAAAATAAGTAGCCAACCTTATCACTGTCTGTAACCTACTAACACGGTAAGGAAAGCATCAGATGAGCTACCTGAGAAACTAACGTAACGTTTCCCCACTTTAAAACCAAACAAACAAGGTGCTTCCCTGCCACGTTCATTTCTTTTGAAAAAAGTTGCATGTTATCACTTTTTTCGCTTTACAAAGCGCAGGCTATTTTAATTATTGTGATCAATTTGCGCCGTCAATCCCGGTGCATGCGCGCTTCATTTGCAGTCTGGACGCTGAGGCTCTGACTGAGAGGGACTCCTGCGGGAAAACGCGGTTGGGGTGGGGGAGGCGCCCCACGGCAGAGTAGGAACGATGCATGCTTTCACGTAAGAGTCTCCAAAAGCCGCCAGTGACACCGAAAAAAGTCGCCAGATTTGTCGCTAGTCGCTTTTTTGAAAAATAGTCGCTGGAGGGGTCTGAAAAGTCGCGGTGTTGGCAACACTGCACCTGCGGCGCTGACTCGCTCTGCCGTATTTTTTTTTCTTCCTCTTTCAGTCAAGAGGCAGTGATGACGGCGAAGCGGATGACGCAATAATCGCGCGACACAACTAATCGATGATGAAATTCGTTGCCAACGCTTTTAAAAGTCGATTTTTATCGATTTTATCGATTCGTTGTTGCAGCCCTAGTTAAAACATATGCCATGTTGTGTGCGCAGGTGTTTCTGCAGGTTGGATGTATTCCCTTCCATGGATGTAATTGCCACTTTGCAATCATTGCAAAGTGCCTTGTTGCCACCGTTCTCTTCCTTAAAATTTAGGCCAAACTTTCGTTCGCTTTACATGATGCGGTGCCTTTTTTTTGTTTTGCTTTAGACTTACACCTGGTCACGTCGTACTTCCTTACTGAATGCCGTGTGCGTAACTTGTGTAAAAAAATGTGACGTAAGTCGTGCTGCCTGGAATTGATAAGAGAATCGTTAAGCGAGCTGCCAAACGGTGTCATGGAATTGGAACACACAGAACCCGTTCTGAGCAGGAACTGGTTTTTGATTCCAATCCCTAACTGTAGCTCAAATTCACACATGATCTTAATCATTGCAAAATTTTTGTGAATTGTGAAATTAGGTGCA